ACCCCACCCCAACCCCAACCCCAACCCCAACCCCAACCCCAACCCCAACCCCAACCCCAACCCCAACCCTAAACCCCAATAACAAACGTAATATAAATAAAAATAACAATAATACTTTTTCATTATAAATTATTTATTTATTATTTTGATTTATATTATATTAATAAATAAAAAAATTATAAATATTTTATATTATTATATTATTTAAAACATGAAATTAAGTTAAATTAAAAAAAAAACTTATTAATAAAAAAAAATTATAAATTTATAAAATAATAATATTTTATATAAAATAAAAAATTTATTATACAAAAAAAGATTTAATCTATATAAAAAATAAATAATTATTTATTTAATATATAATATATTTTTTGCTTTATAAAATAAAAATTATATTTTATTTAATATATATATATATATATATATAATTTTTTAATTTTCATTTTTTCATTTTTTTTAATGATCAAGATTTTAAATTTTTTTCATTTATAAATATTATTGTTTTATACTTCATTATATTGATTATTTTTCTAAATTAATATTTATTAAAAAAATATATATATATATTATATTTTTATATAAAATATTACGAAAATTCTATTAATTTGTTTCAATATTCTTTCTTAATTAAATCCTTTTTCTTAAACAAGAAATTAATTTAACTTTTCTAAATTAGGTTTTTACCATTTTATCTTGAAAAAAATAAAAATATAAAATACTATATATATTTTAATATAATTTATTAAAAACTTCTATTTTTTCAACATTTTCAATTTCTGGTTTTTAAAATAAATTTCTAACTTCTTAAAAATTATAATTTTTAGGGATAATAAACCTATTTTATTTTTTCTCAATAAAATTAATAGTATTTTCTAAATTCTTAAATTCCTTTATTAATTTATAAGCATTTACAGGTCCTATCCCTTCAATTTTCTCTAAATAATCACATCCGCACAAAATACACAAATCAATAAATTAATTTTCTGAAAATTCAAGTTCTTTTAACATTTAATAATGATTAATTTCAACTATAGGCTCTTTTTTACTATTTAACCCTCTCAATAAAATAGTAGTACCAAATGTTAAAGCATCCATATCTTCAGTAACGGTTGCGAAAACTTGTCCTGTTTTCGTAAGAGCTGCACATTATGCTTCAGCTTCTCCAGGGGCTTCAATAACAGGAAATCCTAATAATTTAAGCATTTTAATAGCATCATTTTTCATTTCTTATGTAATAAAGATATTTCTTTATTCCATTTTTAAGGCTTAAACCATATTTTAATTTTCAAGGAATTTTTATTGTTTTTCTAATGCATCAAATTTTTATTTTTGTCTTTTTTTAACTTTAATATTTGTATAATTAATAAAAAAAAATATATAAATACTTCTTCAGATTTAAAAATAGGAGGATTTCCATCAAATACCCATATTGGATTTATTTAATTTTCTATAAGCGAAATAGTTCGATTAAATAAACCTATTAAATGTGCTGTTTTATTTCCATTTTTATCAGTTAAATTTTTTATTTAAAATTATTTTATACTACTAGTTTAAGATAAAAATTAATACATTACCTTTATTAATATATTTATATATATATATATATATATATATTATATATACTTATATATATTTATATAAATTAAATTATTTATTTTTTTACTATTGATGCATCATTTGCTACTATTTTTCCTTTATATTATTTTATATCATTTTTTTTTATACAATTTGGTGCAAACTTTTTTAACAATTCCATTAATTTATGAATTCCCATTGTTTTATACTATATGTTATTAATTTATTTTTATACATATATATAATTATTTATATTTTACTTTTAATTAGAAATTATTAATTATAAATATATTTTTTTATAATATAATTTTTTTATAACAAATATTGAATCTTTTTAAATTAATATTATATTCTTATGTATTTTAAATATATATATATTTTTTTTTCAAAAACATTAATTTTTATGTTTTGTTATTTTATAGAATTTTTAAAAATTAGATATATGTAAAAATATATATAATTATAAATAATTTTAATTATAATATATAAATTATAAAAATATATTATAAATCTATTATATATATATTAAAAAAAAAAGATTATATATAATAAATAATTTAACACATAATTAAATTTAAAAAATAATTTCATATAACTTTTTATTTATAATATTATAAATAAAAATAATTAATAAAAGATATATTTATATAATATTATAATTATAATAAATAAAAAAAACATCAAAAAATATAAATATTTATTTATATAATTTTATATATAATTTATATTTTTAATTATTAATACTTTATATAAAATATTTATATTATTATATTTCTTAAATAAAAAAATCTATATATATCATTATATTAACTTATTAATCATTTTTTTTATAAAGCTTATAATCTTACATCATTATTTAATTTATTATCAATTTCTTCATATTTTTACAACGCAATACTTTCAAACCTTAAAGCCCTTTATTCCAAAATATCAATTTTGAAGTTAATTTCTTTAATTTCTTCTTCTAATTTTGCATCTATTTCTTATTTTTTAGACACTTAATATTCTTTTTATTCTAAAATATTTTTTTAATATTCAATTCTTTTTTGAATTATTTCTGCTCTTGAAAGTAGTTTATCTTTTAATTTTTACATTACTTCATTTTTAACTTCTAATGCGTTTTAATAAGTGAGTATAGAGACATTAAGTAAACCTCTTTTTTCTAAATAATTGTATAAATAATCATTTTAAGCAGCATCTTTTAATGCTTATTCCTCATTTTTTTTTGCTTTTTATTTGAATCTTTCTCGGGCTTTATCATGTAGAGCCAATTCTAGTTTTAATTCGGTCTCCCTCATAATTACTTCATCATCTTTTTAAACTTTTTCGGCTTATTTTAGTTAATTGATACATTCTTTTTCTAAATTTACCATTTTTGAATACTCTAATTAAACCAAATGGTCGTCTAATTTATTAGAATCTTATTATTCACTCGTTTTCTAAAATCCGTGCAATTAATCTCTTTAATAAATTTTAACTATAGGGGTTATTTCACCCTCATTTAAATGAAAATATACCACTACTTCATCTTAAATGAAATCTATAATTATTTTAGCTATTTAATCATTTGCATTCTAATAAAGATTTTTTGAATATTTTTAAGTTATTTTTAATATATAAACTTCACCAATATTATTATCAACAAAAACTTTATCATTAATAAAATTATTAGATGATTTTTTAGAACAAAATCTAAAAAATTATATATATATATAAAATATATATAAATTTATTTATATATAGATATATATATATATATATATATATATATATATATATATATGCCTTATCGATCTATATATAATTCTATCATCTCTATTTTTATATTTTAGAATTGTTTTTTCTCCTATAATTTCTTATCTTTAAATAAGACCGTCATGATTTCTATTTTCGTAATAATTAATTATTTTCATTCTTCTATCTATACAAATAATTTACTTCCATTATTACAAAGCTTATGGTATTTACTTATTTTCATACTTAGCCATTTCATATTCTTCAATAGTTTTAAATTCGAATGGATATCTTCTTCTTAAATACAGCTTGTCACTTCTATGTTAATAAAAATATCTATATTCTTTTATTTTTAGTCTTTTATAGTCTTCAAAAATAGTAATCTTCTGCACTAAACCGTCTTTTTGGCAATAAGGAGCAAATGTATCTACCCTAACTTTATTAAAAAAAGTTGTTCCTTCTCCTAAAGGACTTCCCTTCATAAAAGCCTCTTTATCAATGTAAATTTTTGGTGCCCAAGGTGGCGGCATGTCTAGAATTTATGCTAGATCTTCTATTTATTCTTACTCAGGATTTTTTTATTATTTTTATATTATATCCTCGTTTTCTTAATCATCTTAAAATGGAGGAGCTGCGAATTATAAAGTATCCAACATTACATATTCCCAATTTAAAGAAATGTCCATTTCATCAAAATTCAAATTTTTTACATTTAGATTTTATTACATATTTATCCAAAAGTTCTTATTATTAAATACACAGTCTACACTTTCATAAGGACTTTCTAATGGATCATATACACGGCCTGTTGAAGGTTCCACAAATATGTTTTTTTTCACTCCACGCTTTCCAGGACGAATTAATACCCAACAATGTATCCTTTAGCCCTCATAAGGGTCTATATATATATGTTGTTTGTTTATATTATATGGATATATATATATATATATATATATATATATATATATATATATATATATATTAACCTGCTAACAATTCATCTGGCTCATCATCATCTATAGTTACAAGAAGTTTTTATTTTTCCTTAATTTAAGATTCTAGTTTATCCTAAATTTTTTTATCCCATTTTGAATAAGGCATTTATTTTTTATTTATAACGAATACATTTTTTTATTCTTTAGCTATTTCATTTTTTTCTTATTCAGATTACTTTTTTTCTTCTTCAGGTATATATTTACCTTTTTCCAAATATAAATATTCCATTAATGCTTCATTTTTTGACGAAATTTCTCTCGGCGCTTTTCCATATAGACAATAAGCCTCATAACCTACTCCAATAAGTAAACTACATAACAAAATACTCATATCAAAACAATCTCCTTTTTACCAAACTGCCACATTAGTTGGTGAAGGTATAATTTAAGGAAATTAATTCGGAGGATCCAGTTCTTCAAACTGTACAAAAGAAGATAAATATTTCGCACAAGAAGCATAATCATACAATTCCAAAAAGCCCAATTTCGTAGGACGTATAGTCGTACATATAAATTTTTAAATACCATACTCGTTTTTTGGATAAAGGAAAAGATCACGCTTGTCTTCAAAATATAATTAGTATTAAAACTAGTGCTTGAATTACATTACGTGCTCGAGAACAAGTTCTTCCTTTGCATTGTTTTCTTTATAACATAGATAAATCTACTCTTATTCACTGAAAATTTGGCAACGCTTTATTTTCTCGTTTTAGACGTTTGTGATATTCTCAAGAACTTTAAAGAGTTCGTCGTCTTTTTATTAAATTGGTTCATTAACGTCATTTTGGTCGATGTTTTCGGGATTTTCTAAAACTTATATTGTTTACTACATGTATTTTTTTTTTAATATGTATGTATATATCTGTTAATAAAATTTTATTTTTATAAATAAAATTTAATTTTTTTGTTGATTTATTTTTTATTTTATTATAATTATATTATTAAAAATTTTAATTTTTTCTTTTTCAATATTACAAAATTAAAAAACATATTATAAATAAAGAATATTTTAATAATATTTTATTGTCATACCATATAGGGAAGAAAATATCCTTTTGTAAAAAATAAATTAAAATTATTAAATATATTACTTATGGTAAAGAAGGGAAAATACTAGGTAAATTAGGTAAATTATTTTCAATATCATCGTAATCAGTACTTTAAAACTAAATAATAAATTTCCCAAACACACTTTAATTATTTCTAAGTTCTTGAACGTTTCTTTTAATAAATATATAGAAAAAAATATATTTATAAATATATAATATATATTATTTATATATTTATATTATATATTTTAATATCTATATAATAAACATTTTCTAAACATCATCAACAATTGAATACCCAACAATTTAAACTTATTTATTTTTAATAAACCCATAATTTTAGTAAAAGATAATAAGTCTTTTTATATTTTAAACTATACAAGTATTCGTATTACCATCATAAACAGTAGAAGAATTACTACCTATTTAATACACATTAATTTCCTGCGCTATTAATCTGCTTCCTTCCCCTTAAAAGAACTATTTTATAGCCGGTTTTTAAATTTACAATTTAATTGCATTATTTGCTTATTGGCAAGTTTTTAAATCATCAGCATCCACAACAAATCTTACCTTAAAAGAATACTATGAATATTAGTTAAAATTGACTACTTTATTCACCCCTTCTATATAATTCGGTGTAGACTCATTTATTGTTTTTAAGACTACATTTGTTACTAAATCACCATCCTAATATCCTATAATAATACCTTATTCTTAACTATTTGAAGCAATGGTTTATGTATAATTAAATTATGATATAGTTTCATTCCTTAAAAGCCTATAACCTATTTTATCCTTTATATCTAAGAAATTATATACATCAATATTATCATTAAATAAAGAAAATTTATCCGCTTTTATGCAAATTTAATTCTCTTCTTCAACTGTTACGGTATCTTGTAATTTTATATCATTATCTGCATTTTTGTTTATGGTTTAATATAATTCTCCATTTTTCGAATATACTTTGTTTATTCCCCTTTTTACGTTTACATACATCATTAGGGATGTATCGTAACAAAACTTTTAATAGTTTTTGTTTAAACAAGCATCATTGTTTTCCCATAACTACTTTTCAGTATCACTACATTCAATATCACAGCAACATAAATAATCACAGCCATCGGATTTATCACATGGGCAATTATAATAAACTAGATTTTTTTTATATAGATTATATTATTTTTATATATATTTACGACTATTTGGATAGGCTATCCAAAAAGGTTATGTTGATTGAGTATATAATGAGGTTATAAAAATAATTAATATTATTATATGTTTCATATTTTTTTTGTTATATATATATATATAAAATATGATTTTTTTTTTTTTTTAAAAAAAAAAATAATTTTTTATTTTATATATTTTAAAAATTAAAAAATTAATAAATAAATATAATTATTTATAAAATAAAAATATTATATATAAATGTTTAAAGTTTTCCAAACATTTTGATATTAAAAATAGCTTATTAGTTATTTTATATTAAGTTTATTTTTTAAATTTATTAAAAAAAAAAAAAAAAAAACTAAATTTTTATATCATAAAAAATTAAATCTAAAATAAATTTAAAATTTTTTTTTTAAATAAATATAAAAAATCAATAAAAATTATTAAAACATGGATAATTTATAAGAAAATAGTACTATTTTATATATAAGTAATCTTAAATAAAACTATATGGAACGTTTAGAATAAATGCTTTCAATGGTAAATGATGTCAGCATAAAACTAGAAGGAGATTTAGTCCTTGAATCTTTAAGAAATGATAATTAATTAGAAGAATATCGCAAATAAAGACTTAAGGAAATATTTACAGAATGCTTTTAATTTGAATAGGAAGTATATATAGATAAATTAATGGAATAGAATGCAATTATGAAAGTAAAAATATAAAAAAACGATGAATAGGTAATAACAATTTAAAATAATTTTAGCGAAACAAGAAAAGAAAACGACCTATTAAAATAAAAAAATTACGAAGTGTAATAAAAAGTTTAGTTAATGGAAAAAGAAAAAGAATAAATACTATAAAATTAAAATTAAGAAATAGAAAAAATAATTAATTAAATGAAATCAGATATGTAATTTATTAAAAATGAATGGGAAAAAAAATGCGAATAAATAAATTTATAATATCAATAAGAAATAGTAAAAACATATTATTAAAAAAATAAAAAAAATATAAAAAGCAATAATTGAAAAATTAACATATTTTGTAAATTTAAGAAATATAATAAGCTTATTTTAATAGATAAGAAAAAACAAGTGAACCTTAAGGAAAAGAATATATTCATATTTCTAAACATGAATAAATTTTACAAGAAATAACCGAAATACATAAAGAAAATATAAATTAAATATAAGAAAGACATTTATAAAATATAAATAGTAAAATAAAGGAGATTTCTGAAAGAAAATAAAAAGAATTTAACATTTTTTGTTAGGATATGGAAAATGTTTAATAACAATTAGAAAATTAAAAATGTGAAAATAAATATTTAAAGGATGAAATAAATAAATTGAATAAAAATATTTTAAAAATTTAAAATAAAATAAACGAAGATGAAAAACACTTATAAATAAAAGACAATAATATTTAAAAATTATAAGAAAGAGTTCATGAAAGTGACGCTTTGGTATAAACTAAAGAAATTCTAATTGAAAATTTACAATTATAAATATAAGAAATGTTAAAAAGTATTCAAAAAAAGGAAAATTAATTAGCATTTGGTAACTAAAAGGATTTAGAATTAAAATTAAAAGACTAATAAATTGAAAACTTATAAAAGAAAATAACCGAAAATACCAAAAACGAAAAAGAAAAAGAAAACCAAATCGATATTCTGGAAGAAAAATGTTAAAAATTTAAAAAAAACATACAAAAATTCATCTAATTAACTAAAAAAAATTAAAGGAAAAAATTTCATGAATTCAAATGTGAAACTGAAGATTTAAAAAAGGAATTTTAAGATTTTAAATAGAAAATTATTGCATTTTTTGCTACCAAAACAACCGATATTATTAAAAAATGTACTTAAATTAAAAATAGAGAAATCGAAAATTTAAAAAATACTTTAAATTAGAAAATGGCTTAAATAGACTAAAAAAATATCGTTTTAATGGAACAAAATAATAAATTTTAATTAGATTTAAATGATGAAATAGAAAAATCAATTCAAATATAATAAAAATATAAAGATTAAATTAAAAAATTATAAAAAGAAAATGAAAACTTGGATTATAATTTACAAAAAATGCAAAATAATTAAGATGAAACTAATTTTGCACTAGAAATTATTGAAAAAAAATTCAAAAAATTATCAGAAAATGCCTGTATTAATTGCCTTAAATAAATAAACCAAAAATATAATGAAAAACCTCAAAAAGATGATATTTAAAGTATATATTAAGTACCTGAAAATGCCAAATAATTATCAAAAGATGAGGGTTTTAAAAAGGAAAAACCTGTAAAAAATAACGATAATACATTATTATATGAAATCAAAAATTTATTGGCCTAAAGCTATGAATTAGTTAATAAAAATAACGAAAAAAATTCAGAAAATTATAATAAATAAACCTTAAATAAAAAAAATGATTTTTATAAAAAACTCTTCTTTCTAAAAAATTATTAAAATATATATTTTTTTAATAAAAAAATGCTTTTAAAAAAATTAAAGCATTATTTATTTTTTAATAATATATATAAACTTTAATATAATAATATATTTAAAAACTAAATCGAATTTTCTCATTTTATCTCGGTTCTTTTAATATAAACGAGCTTGATATTAATAAATAAAGCATTTATAATAATAATATATGACTAATAGTATATATAAAATTCAAAAAAAGTTTTCTTTTCCTAAAAATTATTGTTTGTATACATTTTATTTCATATTAATTTTTTAATTTTAAAAAAAGGACTTGTTTTAAAATAAATAAGAATTATAAAAAAAAAATGTTTAGTCTTTTTTTACTAAAATAAAAGATTAAATTTAAATATTTAGAATTAAATAAATGGATATATTTCGGAATTTTACATTCTAATTATATCACTATTAAAGCTTTTTGGAATTATATAAAATTTGAGATCTTTTAATTAAATTACTTTAATGAAATTTTAACTTAAAATGATTGATAAAAATTGATTATTTATTAAAGAAAAAAAGTCCTATAATAATATTTAGAATTAAAAAAAAAATATAATAATAAATAAATCGTTTATTGATATTATTAAAAAAATATTGTAAATATTAAGTTAGATTAGTTTGTTTTATATAGCAATATGATTTTAATTTTTGTAAAGATAAATTTATAAAACATTAATAAGATTTAATTTTATTAATGAGTTTTCGAAATAAAATAAGATGTGTTAATAAATTCTAATTTATAAAAATAAAACCAGTATTAATTAAATTAATATAATAAAAAATTAAAATATTTATATATGTTTAAATATTTTTCAAATACTTATAATTATTTTTATAATTTTTTTTTTTTAAAAAAAATAAAAATTAATTTAATTTTTTTTAAAAAAATAAAAATTATAAAATAAATTTTTCCATTTTAATATGCATATCTCACCAAATAAACATTCTTAATTGTCTGATTAAATAGTAGAACCTAGTATTATTTACATTTAAAATAAGGTATAGTAAACTAAATCACCTTAAAAGATATTTTAAGCCTCAAAAAATGAAGAAGAAAAATAATAATATTAATATATTTAAGAAAATGGTTTATTTTTTAACAATTATTTAATTTTAATTAAGTATTTTTTATTTATTTTCAAAGTTAAAAAATCTCCTTTAAAATCGCAAACATTTGATAAACCAAAACAAGAAAATAATTAATATCTCCATAATAATCAAGAATGTTATAATCAAACTTAATTTTAAGAAATAAATACTTTAATGCAATAATTAAACAAATATGCAAAAGATAATTAAGCTTTAGCAGAAACACTTGAGTATATTTTATATTTATTTTATTTTAAAAAAAAATTGTTTTGATAAAAGTTTATAAATTAAAGCAAATTAAGAATCAGAAAAACAAAAATATGCATTTAATGAATAATGTATATATCATATATATTTTTTTGTTTCTTAAAAAATAATTTTTATTTATATTAATAAGATTAAGAATATATCAAATAATTAAATAATTAAATTTTTTAACTTTAAACTACAAACTAATAATTAAATATAAAAAGTTTATAATTATAAAGCTAAGTTGATAAGTTTGAAAAATAAAGAATATTAATTCTCTAATAAGAATAATATAGGATAAATTAAGAAAATGAAAAAAATCAATTGTTATCTTTATAAGATTAATTAAATTAAAAAGATAACCTTATATAGTATTAAAATATATTATTAATATCTATTATATATATATATATATATATATATATATATATTTATATATATATATATATATATTATTTATAAAAAAAATAAGTTCATTAACTAATCAATTAAAATAATAAAAAGAATAAAATAATTAGACAATTTAATAAAATCAATAACTTTAAGTTGAGAATATAAAATTAAATTAAGAAATTAAAGATATTCTATAAGATATTAATAATATTTAATTAAAATACAATGATAAATTTAATAAATAATATAATTTAAATAATTTAACTTTTTCAAATTAATAATGAAATTCATAAATTTTATTGAATAGAGAAAATAAATACATTAAATTATATATAAATAAAGTTTTTATATTTATTTATTTATTTTGTTTAACCAAAAAATTAATTTATTTTAAAATAAATTTTCATATAATTTTTATTATAAAACTTAAAATTTTTAATATTTAATTTTTTAAGTTGTATATTATTATCATAAAGTTTTTAAATAATTTTATAAATTCTTTAAAGTCTCTATTTAAACCTATAAATTTCTTATTAGATTTTACTATAAGAATAAATATACTTTATTTTATGTTTTCAATAAAAGTAGATTCATAAATATAATATAATTATTTTTTTTTTTTTTCAATCAACTAGTATCCAATTGAATGTATATATAAATAATCCCTAAGGATCTAGCA